GACTGGAACCAAACCTTTAATGCAGGGGTGTCATCTCCAGTCCTCGAGGGCCGCTATCCTGCATGTTTTAGAGGTTTTCTTGCTCCAACACACCTGATTCAGTGATTGAATTAACTCTTCAAATTGGGCAGAAGCCTGTTAATTACCCAGCGATCAAAATCAGGTGTGTTGGAGCAAGAAAACCTCTAAAACATGCAGGATAGCGGCCCTCGAGGACTGGAGTTTGACACCCCTGATTTAAAGTGTCTGTGACATGCATGTCCATGAAATACAAAAAGTCAAAGAAAACATCTTTATATTTTAAAAACTTGGCATTATATACAAGATTTTACCCATTATGTCACATAATTGGCATATTTTCTTCTGAAATTGGCTCAGCCGAAGTAAAACAGGAAGTGACATCAAAGGGGAACGCTTTGAGAAAGAAAACTCCCCAGTTTTTGTTCACTGAAACATTATTTGAACTCTGACTTCTTCTCATCTCTCTATAATAGTGGTTAAAATAATCTAAAGAAACATCAGATTCTTCTCTACAGTAAACGTTTTCGGACTTTGAAGCAACGCTGTTCATGTTCAGACATTCCTCTTTGACATCACTTCCTGTTACTTCACATGCAAATACCTCAACAAATGTTCATCTCAACAGCATGAAATCTTTTTTACAAAACGTTAATGTAATTTTTTCTAAAATGTATTGATATTTATTACAAAATATTGATGTCACAGGCACTTTAAATGATTATAATTTAAACAGATTTGTTTGGTATCTACTGTAACATCAGAATATTGGCTAAAATCTCATAAAAACGTCAACGTAGGGTTTGCCTCTATCTCTGAAACAACAGCAGCTGCTGTAATATTTATACTTCTGATGAAACCTCCCAAGTGTTAGCTTTAAATTGATACCAAGATTACTGAAGTAGAGTTTGTAAATGATGACACTTGTTTACATTTAGGAATGTTATATCGAGTACAAGTTTTCAAGGAAAGCCCTTGTTGTTGACGAGGATGAACCCCACAAACGCAGGCGGTTACGCCATCGCCCACCTTCCTCATCAGCACGCAGGACCGTTTTCTCCACAGCTCAGAAGGTTCCGCCGGCTCTCCTGATTGAGAGGACACAGATTAATTGTTTGCTCAAATTAAATTCCTGTTAAAAGCTGCAGCCGATGGAAGTTAATCCAAACAGAATGATCCAGATCTGTCAGTGTGGAGGGGTACAGAATCTAATATTTTTTTTCTAGCAACATAAAATCTCGTCATACAAACTCATGTTGCTCTGATAACAGAGTTGTGGCCATCTTTATTGTCCAGAAAGTCAGACAATTTTACAGATATGGAGCTAAATATTGGTGTGCTTGTAGCTGAGAGACATTCACAACACATACTCCAAACACTAGCTGACATGTATCAAACTCAAGGCCCACAGGCTAAATGTGGCCCGCCAGTTATTGCTATTTTTTTCTACCTAATATGAAATTTTTTTGTATATATGTGTTAAACTTGAAATTTACAATTAAATGCAATAAGATAAATAAATTTAAAAGGTGAAAGATTCTTGTCCTCACCCTGAGCTAAATTGAGCAATTTAGTTGATAGCATATTGTCTCAGAAAGAAAAAAATTTGTATAGGTCTTCTGGACGGGTTCTTCTCTAATGAAACGTTTCGTCTCTCCTCCAAGAGACTTCTTCAGTCTGAGAGTTTCAGGCAAAATTCAGGCTTTTAAGCCCTGCCTCCATGTGACTGATACATCACATGGCTATCGTTGACACCTAATTAACACTTATTGTTAACAGGGGGTGGAGTGGTACTGGCAATAGTAGCACTGTAGGAGGGGGACAACTGAAAACGGAGGCCTCCACCTCTGTTTAATTCTTCACAAAAACGGCTTCTTTTACTCCTCTCAAACCAACATTCCTCTCTATCAAGAATGATACACACACAAACTAAAAACTAAAGAAAAAAAGAGACTGTACTACTGCACATGCTCTCTGGAGTTAAAAGCCAAACCAAAAAGAAAAGTCTTGTTTCTGACAGACCTCACAGAATCACCTGTAGGAACCACCAAACATCCTTTAAACAATTCTGCAGATTGTCCATCCACTGAGGTCCACCAGATCTTAAAGGTAAATAAATCTGGATGTCATCTGCATAACATGAAATGACACATTGTATTTCTTGAAAATGGACCCCAGCAGAAGCAAATATAAAGAAAATAAAATGTGGCCTAGTATGGAGCCTTGAGGTACCCCACACTTAAGAGGGGGCCTCTGTGGAAGAAAATTCTGCAATTTGAACAGAAAAACTCCTATCAGACAAGCAGGACTCAACAACAGATTGTTCCAGATCTGTCTCAGTCTGAGATTTGTTTTTGTTTTASAAACTATACGATCTAAAACTTGATGCTTCTTTGTCTCATTAAATGCCTTCCGAGAAATATTTCTCTCCAAGAGGTAAGATCTTCTTTTTCAAATGGGTTGAGTCTGAGCTCCATGTTTTGTTTTGTTTTTTAATTTTATTTATTTTGCATATTGACCCCGTTCTGCTTCATTGGATTTTCTTTCTGTGCATGTGTTGTTTGGTTTTATTTATCGTTCTCTGATCACACCGTAGAGATCTGCCATCGTGTGCTGTGTTTTCTGCTGAAAGTCGGTGTTTTTTTCTTCTGATTTCTGCCCTCTCTGTTCTTTTTTTTTGTTGTTGTTGCAGTTGATCAGAGTTTGTTTGAGAACTCTGTCGCGCAGCAGCAGAGTCCTCAGACCCCCAGGTTCGGTCAGTCCCCGGCCCGACGGCCCCCAGCATCAGCCTCCGCCTGCACCGACTCTCCGTCCTCTGGAGGACAGCAGAGGCTGAAAAATGCCATTAACCTGGGCAAGGCGGTGGGGGCGAAGGTCAGTGCAGGTCCTCATAACTTCTTTTCCTTCCGTTTGGTTTTTCTTACTTTTTGTTTGCTCTTTTCTCTCAGGTCAACGACTTGCTGAGAAGGAAAGAACCCAGCCACCTCGGAGACATTGGAGTCATGGAGATCAACAAGAATGTCGGTGCTGTTTGGAGCTGCATGGAGCAACTCGGCCCGGGTACCACCAGCAGGTGTGCAAACACAAACACTGAGATTTACAAAGGTTTAACCCTAATCTGCTGTGTCTAAATTGTATGAAATAGAATCTTATGGACTTTTATGGTCATTGAAAGTAGATCTGTCATGATAAAAAAGTTTGGATGATAAATCGGCTCAGAAATTATTGCAATGAACGATTTTTTTTTTTTCTTTTGTGAAATCGATGTAGTGTAAAAAATATATTCCCTGCAAACCCAAAGTTTGGCACCATGCTCTAAGGTGTTGAAAGGAGGAGAGAGTAGAAAAGGAGACACACAAAAAAGCAGGCAAATTAAAATTAAAGACCTTGTTTTAATTAATCATGYGATTATTTGATTTATTGCTTACTACAAAAAGCGTGATTGCATCAAAGCACAACAAAATTTGGGTTTTGCTTCCCAGAGTGAAAAAATAAAATGGTATTTTATATATATATATATATA